AGCGTGCACCAGGAGCCATTTCTGTGTCTCAAGGAAGATCATCATTTCTGTCATTTTTCCCAAAGGGTGGTGTTTGTTTCAGAAGCTAAAGCATTTGGGTTTATTGGCAGCATGATGATCACACTAGCTCACGCAAGCTCTGAAGGCAGGACACCTCGTGTGTTGTATTCTATGCAGAACGAAGGAAAGCACCAATTTGCGAGACTGCCGATCTTGGAAGAAATCGGCCGGCCATATCAGTGCCAACAAGTGTTCAAAGACGGAAGATTTGCTTCGTGGTGCTGTGCCTCAGAATGGCAGAGGCCGGGCAAAGTCTGTTTCTTTGACAGACCTGACCCAATGCGGCATCCTGCCCATGATTTGTGCTTCATGTTTTATTCGCCTGGTCGGTCAATTTGTTCGAGACATCTCCAGTTGAAATTTCTTTGGTATAGTATACATATTGAGAGAAGATGTAACGTAACCTTGTGCAATCAAACAGACAAGAGGTAGCAGAGAAAATGACCTCTAAAAAGGGGCTTCCAAGCCAACTTGGTCTTGGCAACTTGTTCTTGGGCCTTGAATATTTTTGGCGTTGATGGGTGCTCTAAAGGACACGCATTCCTTTCGAGTTCACTTTGTAACAGAATATTAACCCATGCGTGGTTTCGTAACTCTTTGTCATTGTGTTATCATGTGAGTTTGTAGGAGACCACAGCAGCAGCTGCAGAGGAGACACTTGCAATGTTACAGCACTCGTGCGGCGCTTCCTGTCTTGGAAGTGCTTAAGAAGTTGTGCCAGTCTTGGCAAGTCAAAGCAAATACGAAGGTCAAGCTATGCCGAGCAAGCAAGTCCTGTCAGGAGACCACCCAGGAGGCACTGTTGATTGAGGGCAGATACTCTCTCGCACCGTATGAGAGATGTGTTCCTGACGATTTCTCTGACGGTTTCTATAGGAACCCAGATCACTATAATCACAGGTAGATGCAACGTTGCTGTTCGACACAAGGGACCCAGGACCCAAGGTTTCAATCACAAAGGCTTTTGAGTTTGAAGTTTTGATGCTTAGCTGGAATTCTGTGTGGGTTGGGCTCTTGAGAAGGGTCATCGTTTGCTATTTGTTGACGTTCACCAATCTTAACCGTTTCATCAGACTTTGCCCACGGCACTCCCAAGAGCTTAGGATATTTATTCCGCTATTTTCACAAGCGCTTTGATAAAGGCGTCATCAGTTGCAAGTTCATCCCAGCTCAGCACTCCTTTGCAGTTTCTTTTGAACATTTCAATCCCTTCGGGTTGAGGCACAACCCTGAAAACATCATGCTTTCAGGAACGTGTTTTGGACAATGCTTTTGTTTGGAAACCAGGGTGCTGGGCGGAAATCTTGAACATTGCAGTTGGCTATGAGACGTGTGACTTGTGCCCCCACTTGCGTCTTCCAGACCTTCATATTTCAAGACCTTGCCAGGAGCCCCTAGTAGCGTCCTCTTGTTCCCAGGAGCCCCTAGTAGCGTCCTTGCTCCTAGTAGTACGGCCAGGAGCCCCTAGTAGCTTCTTGTTCCTGCATGCAGGACACTTCTTTCTTCGGCCAGGTCGCTGAGACAGCAGCGCCGACCACACTGCCTGAGGAGAAACCCTTGACTCGTGCCGTAGCTCTTGTCCTCCCAATATATATCCTGCACCAAACCATATTAAGCCCTTAGTGATCTCTTTTTGGCTCTAAAGGGCCTAAAGGGCTACAACCAGCACTTCTTTCAGGGCAGTTTCGTGTCCTTGATGCAGGGGCGGAGTGAGAAGACTTGAAGCAGAACACCCCGCAACAGGACCCCACTTGCCCCACAAGAAACCAAGGTGGAGACAACAAGTTAGGGGGAAGTGGAAGTATATCAAGAGAATTCAAGAGATGCTACAAGCCACAAGCAATAGTTGCAGAATCTCAGGGAAGACACACGCACATCATTTTTTGAGGGGATCAGTTTCTGCGCGATTGAGCGCATGCAGTGTAAATCCAATCCTCGCAGGATCAAGGGCTTTCGCATGCCATTTCCTTGGCGATGCGGGAGCAGTGCCCATGAGCAAGTCGAACTTGGCGTTGAGTTCACTCCATTATTGCAAGAGCTAGGCATCCAATCGAATCATACTTATGCTTGTATCGCTTGTGTTGGCAAGCTGCCCTCTTTCCCACATGGATCCATTGAAGCTTTTGTGTTTTGCAACAGGTACCCGGAGGGCTGCTCAGTCTACGTTGGAGGTTTGGATGGCGAGGATGAGATGTATCCAGAGCAGCCGGCATGCACAGCAAAGGCATGCAAAGGCATGCATTCAAACCTGTATTGCTTGCTATTCGGTTTAACATGAAAACTCCGACATTTGGCTAATTCGTGGCTATAGATTCGGCTAGTCATCATCAGTACGTCAACACGAGAGTTCAACATGCAAGATTGGTGAGCGTGGCAAGCTCGATCAGAGTTCTTATTTTGCTCCGACACCCCTTTCTGAGGCTCTACGAGCATTTCAAAGAGTGTGGAGAGGCTAGAAGCAGATTGAGCCTGATAGAGCCTTGTGGGTTAGTCAGCTGTGCCACAGCTATTGTAGCTCACCCAAGCCACCCTTCAGCTCCCTCAAAAGGACGTGTTGGGCTTGCAGCGCATGAAGAGGTTTTGCTACTTCACCATGGTCATTGAACAAAACCGTTTTTGCACATCTCTGGTTCTTAGTCTTTTTCCAAGCAGCTAACCAAAGTTCGCAATTTCTGATGACGTGCAGCGAACATGCTGGTGTTTATGAAGCAAACATTAATATAGGAACTCAAAGGACCTGGTGTCCTTAGTGTACACGTTTGGACAAGGAGTGGAGATGATGAGATGATCGCCTCTCATGCCTATGGAGTTGCACTCTTGTAGAAGCAGTCGATGGATCATACAGTCATACAGGACATTCTTCTCACATGGAAGATTGTCAACACCAACATGGAAAAACGATGAATACATATACGGAGAAAAAACGCTTACAGACAAGCACCCTCCAATGATCAATTATCACGGAGAAAGTCCCTCTCCAGCATATTCGCGTCGCTTCGCGACGTAAACCGCCCGCACCATTCTCAAACACATGGAAAACAACGCGTTTGTTTTTCAAGCAAAACCATGCTAAAAATGCAACCCGCCGCGGGCAACATCATTTACACCACGTGGGTTTGACCAATTTTTCAAAAACGTAGAAAAACACGCGATTCTAGACCAAAAAAGTCCCCTCTAGCTAAAGCTATTAGCTGGCAAGAGAGCTTGCGTATAACCCATACCTTTAAAAACGCCTCGGCACCTTCGGTGCGGGCGGATTTGCGTTGGATTGGACCGACTTGATACGATTCTCAATTACGCGTTGCCTCAGATGTTTAGGTGAAGCGCGTGTGCATCAAGATTGACAAGTTCAGTGGCGAAAGGAGTGGGGACAGTTGAGTTAGGATGATCACCGGTTCCTTTGCGTTCTTTCACAAGCAGGAGTCTACACAATGACAACTCTGATCTCGTTGCAACAACTGGTGAAGGAACCATGTGCCAATCTTGCTTGATTCAAGTTTGTTTTGTTTCAGCCGCTTCTCTATTCCACCTGCATTCAAACCTGATTCCGCACTTTTCTACCCTTTATCCAACCTGTGTGAGGCTGTCTTGTGTGTGTTTCTTGCTCTGGACATTTTCCTTGCTGCCTGCGAACCAGTTCATGCAACCCTTCGGCTCCCTTTTCTTCCGCCTTTTTGTTTCTACGCTTCACAACAGGTTGTGCTTTCAAACAACTGCGTACCGGCGTTGAACCTGTCCATAACATATTATAATATACACACATACACATACACATACACCTCTTTTGTTACTCCTGTCTGCTTCCATTCTTGCTCCCTTCAAGCTACAGGAGAAGGAAAAGCACTTGAAGAAGAAGAAGACGAAGAAGAAGAAGAAGAAGAAGAGGAAGAAGAAGAAGAAGAAGACGAAGACGTGCTGAGTGTCCTTTTCCTGGATTTGTACAGTACTTGTCTCCGCCGTTTCTATTTCTTCTTTCTAAGTCTGTCAAATCTCCTTTAACCATTCGGCAGTTTACCGCTCAATAGATTTCCAACTAGGGCATACTTCCATTCCGATAGGGAGGCAAGTTTGCCAGTCTTGTGCTGCAACGCTGCAATTGAATTTTAGATCAGTTTCATTCTTTTAGTCGTTTATGCTCCTGCCCAGCAGGCTAGGCCATGCCTACGTGGACTTTGCAGATGAATCGCAGGCAGAGGTCTCGCCCACCAAACTGCTGCTCTTACTTGTATTTTCTTGGCCTCTCGCATACGACTCGCATTGAATCTGCTTGGGCTTCAAGCTGCAATCCGACAGGTTGGAGGCAAGCTGAGGTAAGTTATCTAAGCTGGGCAGATCACACCTTTGGAGTTGGCTTCCATTTTGTAAGGTGTCATTGACACAGACTCACGACCCATTTGAACATTTGATGATCTAAGAGCTCTATAGAGCTCTTGACCGCTTCATTTTGTGATCTATATTCAGTTGTAACTAGGTGATGCAACACAAACATGTCAGCCCTGCGCGCCCAAGAGCAAATCTACGTCTATTGAGGGTTCCATTTCCAAATTCCTCTGAAGTCTGAATCTCTGCATTGTGTTGACTCACCATGATGAATCGTGTCTTCTGCGAATGCAGACCACCTTGTAGAAGCGTTTGAGCGATCAGTTCATGGAGCCCAGCTTACTTGCACTGATGCATCCTTGAAACGTGCTCAAGCTCCGCTGATTCAGCGTGTATTGACGACATATACAAAGCATCATAAAGCCGGTGGCCAACCTACAGCTGAAGCTCCGTTTTCAACTTTTGACTTCGGATTTGGTGTATCGCAGATTGGTGCAATGCCTTCATTCCAGAACAGCGTGCAGCATTCTCTGCTCGTCCCAGCAGGATTGAGGTCCCATGCTGCACTTCCGTCGTTGGACACGTTGACAACAACTTGCTGCAACTTCCTTGGTGTTCATACATTACAACCCTACTGTCGATGTTTGAGTGGCCATGGCTGTATCTTTGGATCTGGGCTCGGCCATGGTCGTGGCCGGTGCAGGTGGGCCTGAAAATGTCACACGCTCCACCAGCACTTCTGTGGAGGGTGTGATTAGCCATCCAGTGAGATTGAAAAGTCAGGCCATGAAAAAGACGGAAAAGTGTTCCACCGTTCCACCCTCCTAGCCTGGATATTTGCTCACGTAGTTCTTTCCGCAGATATTTTGACTTGGGCAGAGGGTTTCACCTGTTCTCTCCTTGGTCTGTGATTTCAGCAATTTCAAACAATAAGTAATGTAGACCCTGGATTTATAAACGCCCCTAGAATAATGATGTTTTTTTCCTGCACAGATTTATAAAGGCCCCCAGAATAATGTATTTTTATTGGGGGAGGGGTAGTTGTAGTGGGATATGTTTTATTGTTATAGTTTACTTTTTTCCTTTTGATTTGCTTTACTCACCCTCTATTCCTGATTTACTGTTCCTAAGCTCTTTAGTTTTGAAGCTTTCCAAAAGTTTCCAAAAGTCAGTGCGCACTTTCTTTATAACATCCCTTATTCAAACGTATTTAAAAACAAACAAATAATTCAAGCAAAGGGGGTAGTCCAGCAAGCAGCTTTCTGACATTATTTAGGGGGGGCCCCTAGAATAATGTCTAGAGATTTGAGGCTTTAAATCTTTATTCCTTTTCTTTGCCTTTTGATTTGCTTTACTTACCATTGAAATTGCAGGTCTTTGGATTCAGATTTCCATTGAAATTTAAAAGTTAGTTCTATTTGCATTGATTCATTCCCTTTTATTGTAATTAATATTCCAGATGTTTTCAAAGTTAGGTTTCTTGATTCCTTTCATTTTAGTATTGCCAGAGTAGCTCCAGAGGTAACTAGCTAAGGATTCCTTATTTAATTATCAATTGATTGATTTTCTTATACATTATTTTTGGAGGCCTTGGTTGTTGAGGGGGGGAGTTTATAAATCAAGAGTCGACATTATTTGATTTCTTGAGGGAGGGCACTTTGTATTCATTTTCGAGTTTTTATTTGATTATATGGTTGTCGATCTAAAGGTCCTAGACAGCATTGTGTATGACGATGACCCGGAACATATCAAAATCTCATTTGGCGAAAGTTTTTTCTCGAGTTGGCGAAAGTAACTGTTTTTTTGCGAAAGATCTGGCGAAAGATTAAATATGTACTTTTGTATGAATGTTCATTTGCTTCCTGAACAGCTGGTGGCAGTGACTCAGAAGTTAGATGAGCTGTGGAAGTTAGATAACCTGCTGCTGCTGCTGCGGCTACTACTACTACTACTGCTGCTGCTACTACTACTACTACTATTCCTATTCCTATTCCTGCTCCTGCTTTTGGGGGGGTGGCTTTGCCACAAAACTCTACCCCGCAAAAGGCGAAAGTTTGGCGAAAGTTCAGCTCACGATTGGCGAAAGACGTGAACAAAGCACAACATACATGGCACACATAAATACAACATACTTCGGCGAAAGAGAAAATGCCGGAAGGCGAAAGTTTGGCTAAAGAAAATTGTTTTGGCGAACATGACGGATCCCGGATAAAGGGTTTTAGATCAACTCCCATATATACTTCTATATTTCTTTCACTTTTGCTTTTCTTGCTTTTACTTTAAGCTGCTTCTGTTGCCATTTGCTTTTGTTGTTGTGCCTTTGCTTTTTCATGTTTGTTGCATTATCAATGCACTTTGTTTTTTTTCGTTTGCTTTGGGGGGAGGCGCGTGCCACAAAAACCGGAGCGTGAAATGTAATCCCCAACTGCTGACTGCTGACATTAGCTGCGGATGTAGAGGGTGTATGTCCAAATGGTTGTAAAAAGGACGCACAACTGCTGTAAATAGCAGCGAACTGTGAGGCCCCAGGATTTTGCGCCGGCGATGATGGAATTGGAGGCTAAAAGTGCAAACAATCACGTCAACAAAAGTGGTACTCTCACCCACGAATGTCCCATAGGAAACAACTTCAAAGAGGATTTGCACATTGTGTGGCAAGCCAACACTTAACGGCTTCTGTAGTTGACTGACAAACAAGGCACCGTCAACGAAGCGAACAAAGTCAACCTCAGCCCAAAGGACTGTGTAGTCAGACAGCATGAATCCTTGAGTTCCAACAATGTTTGATGGCGTTTTGAATAATTGAAACTGCACCCATTCTTCAGCACCGTTCACACCCACGAGAGAGCCGCTTGCTCAAGTTATACAGATACTTTTGTGAGCAAACTTTGCGATTAGAGAATGCATACGGAGACGTCAGATAGCATCTCGAAGAATTACAATAATCTAACATTTTCTTGACAATCAGGACGTGTGCAGACCCAGTAATTATGTTGTGGGGATGACTGGGGTGGGGAGTACCACAGGAAACCCTTACCTGGGACCGCGAAAGACAGTTGCTCCACTTACACTGCACACAATTGCACATATTGCGCACATTGATATTTTGCTATGGCATTCAGACGCTGACAGCTTCAAGTTCTGAGGAACTTTACAAATGCAGACACCCAGACAGGTTTGTGCTCAGGTCCCCGTTTGACTATACAACCTCACAAAGGGTTGCACAGTTCCAGGGGATTGGAACCTAGTTCAGCTGTGTTAGTTTTTCTTGTGAATATTTTGGTATGTGACTTATGGCAGGCCAGCAGAGCTTTCTAGATGCTTGGCCAGCAATGCTGCGGAGGGTGGAGGAGGATCCTATGTACTCGACTTTTTGTGCTAGTTACAATCTACTTGTATCAAGGATCAGCCCCCATCAGGTCTGTAATGGGCTTGGGCCCTTTTCCGCCGTTGGCTCAATGAATTAATGATGGCCATTGCTGGTTTGGAGATGGAGGATGGGCATTTTGTTGGAATCGAAACTGATCTCTCGCAGTACGACTCCGACTCCCTGGCCCTTTACTGAACGAACAGGTCAGTTGAAGGCAAGAGGCATTTTCTCTCTTTTGGTCTCCTTTTCGGGCTGTTTTGATTGAGCCAGTGCTAGACTAACGATGATTTGAAAGGGGACATAAAGTATTTTGTCTTGACAAGAAAGAGTTTTCTTCTTCACCTCTTGCCTCTTGCGCTCTTTCAAACGGTTGAGATCAGGAGCTTTCTTCTTGGCTTACCGAGAATGACTCCTCCGAGTGCCTTGGCGCCAAAGTCACCATTTTTTTGGGCTGTCGTTGGTGTTTTAAGGACGGATGAGAGAGCACCGTGGAACACCACAAGTACGGCAGCTTGGCATATCTTGGCATCGAATTCAGATTCTGGATAACTCTTTGCAAACCAAGATGTGTGGACGTGGCAGGCAAGGATGCCCTCAGTTAATCGCTAGGTCACCAGCTACACGCACCACAGAAGACTCATGAACATACCGACAAGTGGCGAAGACACAGAACATGTGAAACAGTTTTTTGATGGACTCATGCTTGATCCCGCCATGCTTGTTTTGAGATGGTTTGGCAATCCGCATCATGTCTTTGAACAACTTTGAACCTCTGCCGGACGGCCAAGGTTTCGCAGACAACTCCAGGCCGGCTCAGGTCAAGCGACCAATCCACCCAATCGCATGAAGAGCAGTGAGCCACAGATATTTGACACGACAAGCATTTTCCATGCCCAGGGAAGCCAATTCCACAGACTAGTTTCTTTTTTGTGCACATGTGCTGATTTCAGATGGCAGGCTCCAGTGCATCTTTAGTAGTCCTTTTGTTACAACATGCACCAACATGTTGTGTCCACTCCGAACTTGAAGCTCATGCGGCACCCGGAGGTTCATCCAACAATGAAGATCCCAGCTTCAACTGTGAATATCGGTGGCACCTGGGCAATGTTTGGTTATGAGGAGACCAAAGCATTCAGCTTGACATGCTGACATGCTTGTTTGTTTTATGACTCACCGGGAGAGGAATGATGTTAGCCTTTCCCCTTGGGCACGGAAACATTGCAGTGAAGGAAGAAACCATTGCTTCTGAATAGTACAATTATGTACAATTTATATAGTTTGGCCATTTTGTTATATTCGCTGCCTGTCTTGTTTGCGAGGTACAATTTGTGTCCAACTCACACTGGGCCATACCCACAAGCTTCGGATGGAAGCGACTTGGCTCAGGCTGACTTCGCAGGAGTGCTGGTTTAGCCCTAGATGTCGCGTAATCGGCAGGCATGCTGTCTCTTGGTATTTTTGTGCAACCTCCTGTACCGACAACACAAAGCATATGTGTGATTCATACTTCATACCATGGCCTGAACAGCTTTGCGAGATGCTTTCAGTGGAAAGAGGCATGAAGAGCTCTACATTGCAAGCCTTACCCAAGAATGGGCAGGTAGCAACTGTGCAAGTGCACGATTCCACTGCACGGCATTGCGGGTTGCTGCTCATTCGGACACACCGCTGGCCGGGTGTGGGGCGCATGCAGAGGGGGTTCTTGGTAGACCAGTCTGTTGCAGACAGCGGTGGCCGCCAACTTTAAGACTTTAAAGGTCTACCAAGAGCTTGTACCTTTGAGGCCAAAGTGGCAGGCCTGGTCACCACGCAATATGGCAATCACTTTTATTTTACTATAGTTTGAAGTAATTACGGGCGCCTACTAGTTCCGCCAAGCGAATCAGTGTTCCTTCACTGCCCTTTTCTTTTCATTTGTTTTCCCTTACTGAGGAGCTCGTAGTAACATCCCTCCTGCCACCACCCTATTGGTCCCAGGCTCGGAGGAGTTTGTGCTTCGCCTCGACCAGAGCCTTGAAAGGAAAACATTTGCACAACATCGGGATGTGAACTGTGCTTCACATGGCTCAATATATATATATATAGTATAGTTCAACGATTGCTTATCGATCACTGGAAGCAGATTCCGTCAGCACATTGCACCATCCAAGGATGCAGTCCTTTTGGATGCAAGCTGGCTGGTTGCTCATGTCCTTCGTTCGGGGCCCCAAACCGCGACAACTGCTGTGCATTGCATATTCTGTGTTGAGAACAGGTACTGTAAAGGTTTCTGCAGGGCTACAATCGTGGTTTCACATCTGCAGAACAATGTGGAAACACAGGTAGTACGGTACTGCTCTTTGTCCATATGGTTCGCATCGCAGAATCGGGCCACGAGTAGGGATCGTCTGTCTGTTTGTCTGTCTGTCTGTCTTTCTACTGTAACTGACTCTAACTCTCTCTCCTGTCTCCCATGACTGAGGTGGGTGCTGGCTGTTTTTGCTTCCTGCTACGATGTGACTCGGACAGGACGTTGGGTTTGAGTGGCCCCCAGAGTACAAGCTGCATCTGAATCCCAAAGCATGAGCTAGACTACCATCGTTTGTGGGTTTGTCAACATTCTACAAAATTCAGGTGTCAGCACTGCAAAACCTCCTTGTTTTTGTAAACTTACTGGTTGAGGCATCCATTCTGCAGGGGGTGTGGTAGCTTCCGAATGCGAAGGGAATGCGCAGTCAGCTGCAGCTGTTCACTGCCATCAAAGCGAACAACTTGCACTTGCCAGGGATATTTGAACGGCAAAACCATGACACTGGACATTGCCGACTAAGTGAGAGAATCTCAGCTCACTTTATGACTTGGCTCAGGCTTTGTTCTTGCACGAGCTCGCTTCGTGAAAGGCCATTCGCAATTGAAGGACGAAACTGTGTGATGAGCTGCTTTCTTTGGGTGTCAACATTGCCTTGACTAGCAATGCAATATTTGAGTATTTCTGGGACCCCAGGACTTTGGCTACTATACACCCGAGCGGGAGCGCTATTTGGAATACTTCCTGGGGGTTGGGACCCCAGCATGTCGACGCAGCGAAGTTTATACTATAATATTGTATAATAAGATCCTATAACTGATGCAGATGTTCAAAATTATACATGCAAGTCAAGCACTGTTTTGGTCGAAAAGACCTGCTGGGTCAGCACCCTGAAAATTTGCAATTGATGTTATTGTTTGAGAAACGTGTAACATTGCATAGTGCACATATGTGCGCAGATTATATGCGTTTATGATCATTCGTTACACACCTGAACAATGGTAGGATGATGGAAGGGTGTTGTTGGCCATCCATGAGTTCACCAGCCGTCTGGGATTGGTCAATTGACTGGATTCTCTCTACCTGCCTGTAGAAAACTTTCCAGCTCATGACACTCCCTCACTACAGTAGGACTTTTGACAAACCGGAAACTCTGTCGGATCATCGGCCTTCAGGTCTTGACGAAGCTTGGCTGATGCTTGCAATGGGGTGCAGGAACTTCGCAGCTGCATCTTGCAGTCCCTGCGGGTGCCTGATTTTTTTGGTTCTTTTTAAAACAAGATTGAGCAAGATCCAATGACACACAGGTACCTACCGCCTTTTACCCAATGTCTAGGTCACGATACCACAGATGGCCCTTTGGAGCCTGCCAGCCACAGATGCTGTGGACCTGCAAGAAAGTGTACTGTCATAGGTTGGAAACGTTCGGTAGGACAGCGAGATGGCGCAAAGTGCCCTATCATTTTTCTTTTCATACGAAGAAAGTAATTATACAGCACTAAACAGCTTCATTATTTATGGAGCTAGAACCGTTTTGTGTGCTTTTCATCCACGCTGAAAAAAGACCCAGACATCACTTGTCCAAAATCGTTTCGGAGCTGCTCAATCTTCCATTGCGAGACATTGTACGTCTGGGTGATCTAGGTCCCAGGTGAAAAAGGCTTCAAAGCTGGGGCAGGGCACTCAGGCCACCTGTCAAGCCAGTCCATGTCAAGATCTATCCTAATGAAGATTTTTACAGAGACCAGCCAAGCGGTACGCACCAGGACCAAGCTGATTTGTAGTGAATGTTCCATCCTGCCTGGTCCTGGCCCCCTAAGGATGATTTGCTTTGCTATCTTTGCGGACGAGACATGTGAGCTCGGGGAGGGCCACCGCTTCTTCGAGGAGGCCACGAGCATCCCTGGCACATCGAACACTGTTCCTTCGTTGTTCTTATCGCCCAAATGGCACATTCCAAGATTCTCTTAACTCGTTCAAATGGATCTTTCACTGCAAACGCAGTCACACCTACTTGAGGTGTCATGGAACGAGCCGAACCAACAAACAGCATCGGAGAATGCCGAAGCACTTGCACTCGAAAAAGGAGGCATCAATGTATAGTAATGTTATGACATAGGGGTGGCAGGAAGAGGTCAGGAGTTGCAATGTCTTGAAAAAAAGGCCTGTGCACAACCAAGAGGAAGTCATAAGGAATGCATAGCATATGCATTTACACATACACACATGTACATATATACAGGTTTAAGTCACTGTTTTGAATCGGTGTCGTTCTCGTGTTGGCACTTTCCTTTGTTCTGCTTTCTGAATTCCTGGAGCAAACCTTCACACTCGCTGGCACGGCCCTAGGCAAGTGCCTTGTTGGTGGGACAATTTAAGTTTCCAGGCTTCAAAGACCGCCTCTGTCTACAATTTCTATGGCGTCAATCAGATTCTCTTAGAAGCCTGATTCTCCAGTGTGTCTCTTGCGAGCATCCATTTGTCCATGTACAATTGCAAGTCGGTTCACACTTTGGAAGCTTTGTGCTTGTGGTTTCTAAAGTGTTCTTGCAAGCGCAGTTTCTAGTCATGTCTATTTCCAAGAGCGATGCTAGAAGCATGGCTCAGCATGGCTGAACAGGGCATGACAGCGCTGGCAGGTTCATCCCTTTGACCGGTGGGTGGAAGTTTTGCAACTTGGCACAAACTAGAGTGACGTGACGTGTTGAAATTGCGGCAAAGTTGCGGGAGAATTTGAGAAAACGGACTATCATGATTATCAAGGCTATGAAGAAATGCATCAAAACAGGTCGAGACGCAACTGCATTGAGAATCAAGACTCTTCGACAGATTGCAAAAGTGTGGCCAATTCCTTGTCTCAGATCTATGCGGACATGCGATGGATTCTGCTTGATTTAAGCCAGCTAAGCTCCAATGTTGCAATTTTTGCCAAAAGGAACCATCCTGTAGCTGGTCACAACATGTCACAACCAACTTTTTTCCCTTCCTCCTTGCAATGATCTGACACTGAGGCACAACTTAGTTGGCCCCCCCATGCAGGAACAAGATTGAGCGAGCAAATGGAGCACGAATGCACAGTAGCATGAACGAAAAGCCATGGCCGAACAAGGATATCCAAGCTACCAACTGTCAAGTTAAACAGAATGTAAGTTTGTTGTATTCTTAAAGCGATTGAATTTCTTAACATGCAATACTTTGAAGAGGGTGAATCATTGCTGTATGTGTGGGTGTCTGGGAGACGTTCTCATTCTCAGTCTGCAAACTGCTCAGCTGGTTATATAGCGTATACAGCTCTCGAATTCTCTAACTTCTGAGAGCTTCTGACTTCAGGCAGGAGGAGAATAGGAATAGTGCCCAAATCTCTTGCAAGACTGCATTTTGTACATGGTTACCATGGAAGGCTTTTCATGTCAGATCATTTCAGTGGGCCCCGCTAGTCCCAATACGACACTGTTTGCTAGTTACGAGCATCAAATAGCAGATGCTAATAAGCACCTCAATCTGACAACCTGAGGGCAGCCTCTATGATGTTCTTCTGCTTCTGCCTGCGTCTTTACTACAGTGATCTACACGGTCCTTGTCCATGTCTGTGACTTGGCTGAAGTATCACAATGGACGGAGGTGTTTGCAGATCACAACGGAGGCACAAGTGTTTTGAACGATGTAAGAACTATATAGTGCAGCCTTGGCTTGATTTAAGATATCATTGTGTATATATGCATGTGTATTTTTCTTGGTCAAGTAGAGGGTTGGTTGATTGAACATGTTTCTCGGTCTGTGTTTATTAATTTGAACTCGGGCACGGAGCATGCCAGACTAATGCGGAAATACCACATCACAAAGTAGTAGGACCTGCTCCAGGTCCCACTCCTCGCATGGACTTTGTATATGTATATATATATATGGTACCCCCCCCCAAAAAAAAACCTATGTTCACCTCACTTTTGCTGGTATTTGCAATATTTAGTGTCTACTTTTGGCGGCCTTTTGGACCTTAGTTTTTGGGGTACCATATATATATATATATATATTTTTTTTTTGTGCACGTAGGTTGCATGACTTGTTTGTCCACTTTGGAAGGAATGCATTCAGAATGCATTCAATGCACTCAGAATGCATTCTTGATCAAAACCAAGATCCAAGATCCAAGATTCCCACAAGACTCCTGGCTAAAATCTTAGATAAACCAGGATCCAAGATCCAAGATTCCCACAAGACTCCTGGCTAAAATCTTGGA